TTTTTTTTTTGTTTTTTTTTTTTTTTTTTTTTTTTTTTTTATGAATTTAAGATCTTGATCTTGGGAAAAGAACTAAAAACCTTGTTTAATTAATTAAACATCTTATGAAATTATAAATTAAAGGCCTCATCTTTTTTTCTTTTTTCGAGTAAGGATCCATTTCTAAGATAAAATAATTTGTAAAAAATACATTTTAAGAACAATATATTTTGTGAAGAAATGCATTAATCCATCAAAATTTCCCATAATATGTCCTCTTTTTTGTACAAATATAAAAATGAAATGAGTAAATTATTTCAATCCTACAGTGATTGTTACGTTTGGTGAAATGAAAACGAAAAGCATTATTCCATTTTCATTTTATGCATCAAAACTTCAAATTGAGTGGAGTGGCAATCCCTTAAAGATACTAACCTAATTCTTTATAAACATAATTTTAAAAAAAACTATAATAAATTACTTACAGCAATAACTAATTTGATTTCTTTTCTACTTTCAAGCTCTTTCAAAATTTTAGTTACTCGGGGTTGAGGCAAGCCACATTCTCTTTTTATCTGGTTCACTGCCAAACCTAATATTAAAAAAAGAAAAAAATGAAGTAAGAATTCAATTATTTAAAGTAGAAATGAGAAACGTTACCATAAATAATATACTTCAGCAAATAACAAACCCTTATCGCTTGCGCCTTTAATGATTTTAAAAATTATTTTCTCTTCTTGGCTACCCTTAATGACCCTAAAGAGAAAAATCATAACTGTTAATTACAGTAGATTTGTAATAATTTAACAAAAATCATAACTGTTAGTTACAGTAGACTTGTAATAATTTAACAAAAATCATAACTGTTAGTTACAGTAGATTTGTAATAATTTAACAAAAATCATAATTTTTAATGATATTATTAAATGCAATGATATATTAATGATATACAAATTTGGAAAAAAAATTCCCTGTGTTTTCACTGTACACATTACACACAATATATTATGACGAAACAACAATTATTGTGCTCTTGTGTGAGCTATATTGGGCTAACTATATTAATTTCAATTGCTGGAAAAACAGCTGACATACTTAAATAATGCTATATTAAATTAAATACAGTACACTCCCGATTATCCGTGCGCGGATTATCCGGTTTGCGGATTATCCGTGCTCATTCCAGAGTCAAACAAAAAATTTGACGAGAAACATTTTTACGATTAAAAAATTTTATTCATGAAGTTATAACACTAAAAAATTTTTAGAAGCAATATTATTGAATTGCAGTGTATGTAATATCAGCAGCATGGTCAAAGGTAAAATCATCTACGTTATTACGATCGTGGAGAAAGATCATACCGCTTGATGAACAATCTTTAGATATTCAAGAAGAATATGATAATAATATTCTTGAGCAAGCACAATAAATCTAAGGTTTCGAAATTTTTGATGAAGAAAATTTAGAAGATTAGTTTCAAAGTGTGAGCCTGTCTTCCTGAATTTGACAGATGATGACATCGTTACTTGTTAAATCAAACAGTGATGATAGTAACTGATGCAGAAGATGTAGTAAATGAGGGAAATACAATTTCTCATTCTGCTGCTCTGTGGAAACTTTATTAGATTATACGGGAGGATTTTACATTACTGCGGTTTGTAAAATATGTGTCAATATATGGTAAAGTTGCATTAAAAAATTTTTTAAGCAGCAAACGTTAAAAGGAAAATTCCTAATTTGATGTTATACAACGTGCAAGTATCAGTAATTTTTCTATTTTTTGTACTGGTATTGATTTTTTCTTTAATAAAAAGGAGTTTTCGGATTATCCGTGTTTTTCAATTGTCCGTGCGACCTGTTCCGGTGATTAACCCGGATAATCGGGAGTGCACTGTAGTTCAGTATAGCCGAAATATCAGGGTTAAATATCCCATAGATTATGCTATGAGTGGTCACCATTTTTTAAAAGATAAAAATAAGAAACAAAATTCCCTGTATTTTCCCAGTTTGTAAAGAAAAAAAAATTAAAATTCCCTGCATTTTTCCGGCTATTTTAGGTGATTTTTAAATTCCCTGTATTTTCCAGGTTTTTCCTATTTTCCTTGTGGAGTGGCAATCCTGAGTTTTTTTTAAGTAATACAGGAAATATTGTAAGTAAAGTTTGATTTTTGAGGGAAAGGTCTATGGCTGAGCATCATGCTGGTTTCGTTGACAATTCAAATCTATTCACAGTAGAATCTTTATTATCTCAATTCTCTCTTAACAGAATTTGATTTCTCAACGTATTTTTTTAATGAAAATACATTTTATTATTTCACAATTTTAATAATATGTCGTAAGAAATAAATGTGCTATAGTTTTTGTCTAACTAAAGAAATCTGGAAGTCCCAATTTCTGTTGTTTCATCCCCTCCTCCATTATTTTCGTTATTACTAGTCGGTAGGGCAGCTTTATAGTGAAAGGAGTTAGTTAAATTACAAAAAAATTAAATATGTTTACCTTTTAAAAAAAATGAATGATGAAATTTTTTTTTATCTACATCCTTCTTAACTTTAATTGTATAATAATCACTTTCTATAAATCAAGAGGTGCATACAAAATAAATTATAACGAAAATTTTACATGTATATAATACATACATATTAGCAAATAAAGAAATAAATGTTACAAAAAAAGTTTTGATCTATTTTGATTAATCTGGTAATATTATTTTGAGGGGGTTTTGTTCACCAAATTATGCCACTGTTACTAACATAGTTCAGTTTCAACTTAATTGCTTCTATTTCTACTAACAGGAAGCATATTATGTTAAATGGACAAGAAAATTATAACATCACAGTATGAATGGAATAGGGAGAGACACATACAAAGCTTATAAAAAAATATATATAAAGCGTTGAAATCATTTAAGCATTCAGAACTAAATTTTATTTTTTTTTACTGGGCATCTAGATTACTTTATTTACTTATTGTTTTAGTGAAAGCCTGAACCATTTCATTTTACAACCTTTATTTAATGCTACGAGTTCAGTGCTTGTAGGTTATCTCTAATAAAGTATGTACGTCATTATTAAGATTTTGGGCATACATGCTTCTTACCTTCAAATCAAACACACCTTACAGTTTTATAGTTCTAGTTTTACCTAACTTATGTTGCCTCCAAACATGGCATTTTTTAATTTTAAGGCCCACTATCAAAAAAATAGTTTTGTCTCCCAACTTTAAAGTTAATTTTTAATTGTGCTGTATCCTTATTTCAATTTTGAATATTTTATTCAATTTACTATTCCAGGGGTGATTGTGAGCCCAAGTCCAAATTCCGGAAAATTTTTTGAGTTAAAAAAAAAAGTTTAAATTGAAAAAAATTTAAACAAGGTTTTTTTTCCTTTTTCTCAATATATCTCTTTACTTAAAATATATTTAAATTTTTACACATACCAATACCATTTACACATACCTATGATGACCTGGAGAAGTAATTAAAATTTACAAATATGTCTTTCTTGAGTTTATGATTATAATAATTATTTACTGATAAAAAATTAATATTAATCATGAATATAAGCTTATAAAGTATCTGGCTCTCCCTTACAAGCAAATAAAATAAACTGTGTTAAGTTCCACCTTTGAAAATTTGGTTTCCGGAAACTTCTGTGATCAATGATTTTTTTAAACATCTGGACCTTTGATCTCCAGAAACTTCCGGATCACTGTTAGCAAAAAATCCGGATTTTTTCCGGAGCAGAATCAGCTCTGCTATTCTATTGTGCATGTAATACAAAAACTTTGAAATCTAATTTCTAGAATGTTATATGAAAGCACACAGTTTTTTGTATACTTTTCCACAAATAATTATACAAAATAATCAACTCATGGCACCACTTCCTTTTACAATAAAATAAAATGCATACTTGGCATCAGCATTCCATCGCCAACATAATTGGTTCCTTTTCTTTGTCACATCCAATTTACCCTAAAAATTACAAAAGATAACACTTTTAATAATTATGACCGAAATTATCAAATTATTCACAGAATTTAAAATTGATTGAAAAATAAAGTTCATTAAAATTTCACTTAGAAATCTTTAAAAATAATGAAAAAAAACTTATCTGAAGACCCAGTAAATTTGAAAACATAGTGGCCCATAGACTAAACTCTCAAATGATGTTGATAAGTTAATTTTAAATACTGCAACTCAAGCAAGCATTTTGCAAAACTTTTGTACATTTAATCTTATGTAGGGTTTTACTTTATTAAAATAATTAAATCAGTTAAAATAAAGCATTAATGTGGTCATTATTTCAGCTTTTAAAGTGTGTGCATTTAGAATATGTTGTAAAAATTTGTTTTTCTTTCAAATGTTGAATCGACACTTAATAAAATCAGCCGCTTAATAAAATCAAAAGAGCATAAAACGAAAGTGATTTTAATAAACAGCGGGGACTGTAACTATAAACCAAACTGTTTTTAATTGCACCTGGAAACCAGTGAAAGTTATAGTCAAGACTGATATGTTTTCTAGCCAGAGACATGAACAGAGAATGTAATAGTTGTAACAGTATAAGATGTAACAGTTATGTGTTCAGTGAGAGAAACTGCAAAGATGCCAACTGCTCCAGATTTGACAAAATACCTTAGAGAGCGGTAGGGAATTACAAACTAAATTTTGCAGATTTTCGGTTAATTTTGCCAACTGCTTAAACGGCTCAACTCGACTTAACTGTAACAAGGTGGCATATCACATAAGCATTTGAATTATTTAGAAGTAGTGATGAGTAAAAATCATATCAATCAAATATATTTAACTAAGAATCATATATTTAAAGACTGTCACTCGAAAATATATATACGATATCTGGAGCAAGTTGGCATCTCTGTAACTGTACTTGAACAAGTGGTCCTTTTATATGTTGATTTGTGAATCATAATGAGTAAATAAACATCATTTCTGTATTTGTTCATTAGTTTTGCTATTTTTTTAAAAAAAAATAATCCATAATTAAACAAAATTTTGTAATATTATACATCATATACATTACCTATTAATTTTTAAGCTGACTAAATTAAAAAATATTTAAGCTTTCATCATTTGATATAAAAAATTACACTTTTTTCTCATTTAAAAAAGGCCTGATATTAAATCAAAAACCTGAAAATCAAAATAGCATAATGCCATCAATTTATATCAATTGTTCGTCTAGAGAACCAATATTAATTATTTGATGATAATCTGAATCAAATTTTAGTGATTGCAGACCAAGGATCCCAATTACTTTCGAACCCTGGTTAACTGGAAGGCCAGGTCGGCCTGATGTTTCATCATTGACCTGCTTAGGAGTCCTCAGCTTTAGCCTTTCGGACAAAATTTAAATACCTTAGAACCTAAAGAAGTAAGACCTAATTATTTTGTGAAGGAAATTTATACTCACTTGGGACATCAATGAATTCAAAATTGGTGCCAACTCCTTTGCTTGTATGGTAGGAATAGCCTTTTGTAAATCAGCTTGTGATATGCCATTTTTGTTAGCATCACTAGCCAAGACTTCAATGACTCTGCAAATATTTTAAATACTTTAAAGCCACTCTTTTGAAGAGCCACAAGAAATTTCAGAAGACAGCCACAAAAATACAAAACAGTAAACAATAAAAACTTAAATTTTGCTGAAAAAATAATATAAGTTTTATAAAAAAAAATCTACGATAACTTAGGTTTTCTTTCTTAAAATAAGTTTTTTTGAAAATTTGGAACAAAAAAATTCGAAAATTAACATTCAATTAAAATAGAATAATAAATTACATTTACTGAATAGAAATGGAATTGTGCATTGCAGACTGGGTAAATTCTTATGCAATACCTATCCAAAATATCTCCCAGGGATGTTTCCATATTGGTACCTGTTTCAACTTAATACCTAAAGTTTTCTAAAGAATGTTCATGTCCTAAAGACTATTAGGCCAATAAGTATTAGCAGTGGGAGGAAAAAGGAAAGACAACAAAAAAATGAGGGTCTGCACATGATTAAAACTAAAAATTTTATATTTTATGATCATAGGTAGGTTTATTAACGTTGCACTAGAACTGCACAATGGGCTATTGGCGACAGTCTGGGAAACATCCCTGAGGATGATCCGAAGACATACCATCACAATTTTGATCCTCTGCAGAGGGGATGGCTCCCCTGCATTGGTAGCCTGACAACCTGCATGCCAAGTCGAGCACTTCATGGCCGAACAGCTTAACGAGGACGGATACAGCACACCCTCGGTCCCTAGACAGGCTGATCAAAGTGGTCACGCACTCGCCTATACTGACCGCAGCCAGTAATGCTCGACTTCGGTGCTCTACTAGGAGCCTTGTCTTTACGATCAGTCCCCTGCAGGACTTATGACTATAGGATTAGATACCTAATTTATCAATGAAGAGGAAAGATTTTGACTTGGTACCAGCAGTCAAATAGTCACCAAGTTTGTGGGAAAACCAGCAGTAGCAGAGAAAAAAAAATGGGTACAACTAATTACCAATATTTAATAAAATTCATTCCAAGCATAATAAGTGGCTAATTTTAGTAGACACCTTGGTACTAATAGTGAAAAAAAAATTTATATAACAAATACAACACACAAAATATTAACAAAGGCAAATCAATTATAAATACTAAGTAATCATTATTTTTTAAATGAGAAAACATTTTCTTTCTCCAGACACTTTAAGGAGAAAAAAAATATGCAAAGAATAATAAAATATATTTATATATATATATATGAAGTGCCTGATTTATCACAGTTCAATAGCCCAGGAACCCCTAAGTGTTACCTATATATTCTATTCCTTAAAAATTATCTATTCGAAATAAGAGTTAACAAAATTTGAAATACGTATAAGTGTGGTACGCTACGTAAGTTTAAATTTACTAATATATCTCAATTTACTTATGTTAGAAATAATTTAAAAACTCTTCATAATAAAACAATGTAAATTTGGTTTAAAGTAACACCCAGGGAGCCCTAGACAATTCTGTGCCTAGGGCCCCCACTTTTTTAGTTCTGGCCCTGTATATAAAGAGAATATAAATTACAATTATACAAGTTTACAGTTTCTCATATTAATATTTTTAAAACACTCATTTTAACAAAGGAGTGGTCGAAAAATGCAAAATTAATAGCTTAGATGATTTTTATCCACCTCTAGATTTCCCTTTGAAATAGCTCATTGAAATATAACTATAAAATTATCTGAATATAAATAGTAAACAAATAATAATATATACACATGTTCGAAAAAACTAACAATATAATTTTATATAGTTATTATATTTAATCTATTTTAAATTACTTTTCTTCCAATTCGGAAGAAGCTGATTTCTTTTCCGTCATTATAGCAGAAAATGGACTACAAGCAAAGTCGTCAGAGCAAAATCTTCTACACGCCGGCCAAAACAACATTAACCACGTGCTTCCGTTTTTTCCGCATCTCAATAAAGATGACGTAATAAATCTCTGGGATTGACACTGCCAGTTAAAACCAAAATTAACCGTTAAATGCTTTAGTAGTAGTTTTTTATTCGAGTTTACTTTATATAAAACTTTTATATTTATATTTTTATCAACAAATTAAAAAATAAAGTTTTAAAAACACTTCATTTAATTATTTTGTGCCATTGTCATATATTATTCTCAATAATTTAGTAAGCCTTTTCTGTACAAAAATAAGCAACCAGAAGACTTTTAATAAAAATGTAAACAAAGCAATTCTATTTCCTTTGCGATTGCAATTTCGGCATGCGTAAGTGACAAAAGCAGTCTAACAAAATTATTGTGCTAGTATTGGTACTAAAAAAATTTTTTGTCTTTAAAAACTGTTTCAAAAAAGAAAATTTGTTCGGAATAACAATTACTAATTCTTGTTTCTTTATAGTAAGGAAAATTTTAATTCATACTTCATTGCACACGCCGATACCAATCACAGTTACAACCCTTCAATATCGCTTTATTTGAAAATGTCGTTTTACGGTGGTGGAAATGGATTTTATAGCGACTATCAATTCCCCATTATGGATATAGGGCCACTAAATGTTGCTTTAAATACTGTTGCTGCTACGAAACGTGAAGATAGCAACCTCTATACCATTATCGGGACACATAACCAAGTGAAAACTGCTACAAAGCTTGAAGATAGCAATATTTATAACATTAATGGCGCGCGTAACCTAGTGAAGCCTATTATAAAGCGTGAAGATAGCAATATTTATTCCATTGTTGGCCCAAATAACCAAGAAGTACGTAAAAAGGGACCTTGCATCGTTAGTTTATCAAATGCCCTACCGCAGTTCAAGGGAAATCAAATCGCACCTGTTCAGGAAATTAATGAACATACACAAGTAGAGGAGGAAGATGAAGCTCAACCGGAACTGGACATCATAGTCAACAACGTTGTTGCTACATTTAACACCAAATGCCACTTAAATCTCCGACAGATTGCTTTGAATGGGTCTAATGTCGAATATATTAGAGACATGCAAGTGGTCGTTATGAAATTTAGGAATCCAAAAATTACAGCTAAAGTATATTCTTCTGGCAAAGTAATATGTACTGGTGCCACTAGCAACGAGGATGCAAAGAGGGCTGCCAGGAAAGTTGCAAGAAGCTTGCAGAAATTAGGATTTAAAATTAGATTTACTGAGTACAAAATTGTAAATGTGTTGTGCACCTGCTACATGTACTTTGGTATCAATCTCAACAAGTTTACTCAAAAGCATAGACTTTTGACCAGCTATGAACCCGAGTTACATCCTGGAGCTACTTATAAAGTTAAAGATCTCAAAGCCACTCTAAAGCTGTACACTACAGGGAGCATTACTATAACTGCTCCTAGTACAGACAATATTCAAAGAGCAGTTGAACATATATTTCCATTGGTGTATGAATTCCGGACAGCAAAACCACCGTCTAAAAAATCTCAATACCATAACTACCAAATGTCTCGAAAAGCAAAGGGGGTGTTTCAAGATGGTTTTTCAAGCTCTGAGGATGATAGTTATCTCCAGAGTGAATGGTAGTGATAAATATTTGGTAGTTCCTAGACTAGTCTTAATGCTAAACAGTCATATGTAATTCTTGAAATAAAACGTATTAACATTGTTGCTAATTGGTCTGCTTCGATATTTTTTCTTTTAAATTGTTTATCTATATGATGTGTTTTGAAATTTTAAGTGTATGGCAGGGGTTTGTGTGTAACATGTTCTAAATCTCTAGAACAGCTAAATATTCTATTCATCATCAAATCTTTATGGTGGTAAAAAGTATTCGATTCATTACCATATCTCTGATAGCTAATAATCAATTCATCGCCAAATCTCTAGAACAACTAATAATATCCATCACCAAATCCCTAGAACAACTAATAACATTGAATTCATCACCAAATCTCTAAGACAGATAATATTCAGCATCAAATCTCTAAAATCACTTATAATGTTTATTGTACTAAGTGTCTAGAATAGCTAATAATATTCATCGCCAAATCACTAGAACAGCTAAAAATGATATTTCTCGCTAATTTTTTAAACAGTTAATAATATTCATCACCAAATCTCTAATATGGCTAATAAAATTCAATTCACAATTTTTATTGGTTTGACAAGTTGCACCAATCAGATTCTTAGGTTTCTATTTTTATTTCAATGAAAATAGCTATACAGTTGGCACAATACTGTATGTATAAATTTATTGCCAAAAAAAATTTGTCATTGAATTATTAGTGTTACTAAGTTGTTTGTTTACTATAAAGAAAATAATAAGGAATATTTCTTATCTCTTGCATTTAAGCTGATGGAACTTTTTTCAACTACATGGTTACATAAAGCAATAGTATATGTGCCAACTCATCTTATTTAAAATAGAGAAATTGTTTTGTTTTTTTAAATTAAAAGTTTTAAATTTTAAACTCTTTATTTGATTTATATTAATTTTGATCTGCATGTTTAAAAAGTTATTAATTTTTCCCTTTTCAAAAAGGCAATGTCGCTTTTTGCCATGCATTATGCAAAAGCGGGCTTTTCACATTGTTCTATTCAACGTTTTGTTTTCACAATTCATTCAACCACAATCTATTTCGGTGTACCGTCGGTCGTTAGCATACGAAAGCGCCCTTTTCAAAAAAGATTTTTCTTTACCATGCCAATTTTTGCCAGGTATAAGCAAAAGCGTGCTTTTCGTATTGTTCTATTCAAAGTTTTTCACAATTCATTCAACCACATTCTATTTCGGCGTACCATATATCCATAGTGTATCAAGGCGCTAATCATTTTACATGCTTGATGAAATACTTGCAAGTTTGCTAAGCTGGGTTTGGTGAGATTATTGCACTCTCGTGCAACTCTGCTGCATTTTGCAAGATATTCTCTTTCAGACTTCATTTTCCACCTTCTGATATTGAACTAAAAAATATCTTGATCATTTTGTAATGGCTAATATAATCAAGAAAAGAGTTCTTTGTCAGGTATTTTATCATAATCCTGTAAAGTCTTTGAAAATTATTTTGTTAATATATATAGTACTTAAAAATATTTTTTGAGTGTTTAAAAAGTGCTTATTTTTTGTTGAAAGATTAGACTATGCACTTAGCTGATAATCCTACATTAAAGCTTACAAGTGCTAAAGAATCAAATTAATTTTGTCTTATTTAATATTTTGTTAACATTTTAAAAATTGGGAAATGCCTCAACTTCAAGGTTGGCATCTCTTTAATAGTTTCAAAGCACACCACACTATCTCAGTGTTACAAAACCTTATGTTTTTCAGAGGGGAGCGAGAAGTTAAAAAAAGAAATTCAGAAACCTTGATGAAGTCAGTTTTAATGTCTCCGATAGCTGTGTAATAAAAACAATATCAATTAGTCTTAGAATTGTCCCACAGTGGACTGATCTTAAGACATTGTACAAAGTAGATGACCACAGTCGAACACCACTTGCAGCGGGTGGGTGGCCACTTTGATTAGCCTACAAAAGAACTGTGCTAAATCAATCCTCATTTAATTGTTTTGCCGTAAAGTAATCCATTTCCATCTCTTCTACAAAAGATCAAAATTGTGATGGCATGTCTTCGAATCATCCTTAGAATACTACTACCGACCTAAAAACTGACCGAGAATTATGTGCTATATAAGTATATTGTGTGTCTTTTTTATTTAAATATAAAAATAAATTTCCCCATGAAAAATTATTATATTCGTTAAAGAATTAAGCTTTTAATTCTGTCTAAAGTTTTGTACTATAATTGGTTTAGTTCAATACAATTTTCTATGAGAAATTAAAGTTATTTTTAAAAAAATAATTTTTTTATACTTCGAAGTAGTGAATTAAGCTGAACAGTGTGAAAAAGAGCACAAATAATGCCGTATGAACAGGCATGCAATTGTTTCAGTTCCATGAAGAACCTTCATCAGTGTCAGATGAAAAGAGCACATTCTATATTTAGATGCTAAAAAGATTCCTCCTTATAGTATTGAAACAATAGTATGATAATTTATGAGGCATTAGCTGTGCTGTTTTTAAATTTCTAAGCTTTATTCATGTGTATATTACAATTTTAACCTTTTCTTAACTTGGAACTCAATACCTCAGTATTTTTAACTTATTGTAATTTGGGTATTTTTTTTTCTTTATTATAGTTGATTGAGTTTTAAACCATTTATTCATTATAACCAAACTTCTTAGCTAAAATTATCACCAAGATTTATGGTAAGGAAATAGAAATTATACTTGCTATGTATGTTAATTTATTTTTCTCTTAGTTTTATATATATGAATCAAATGTCATAAAAATCCTTTGTGGTTAGTAAATAACTGATAAATTGCTGATTGACAACGAAGCTAACAGATAAAGTGCCAAAATAAGTTGAGAAGCAATTATAAAGTTGTGTGGTTATTATTTTTTTCTTCTTCTTTTCGTTGGTAATTAAGAACAGTAGGGTATGCAATTTCAGTTCAAAATATACCAGACTTAAAATTTTTGCTAGCCTCTATTTTTCAAAAAATATAATGAATTTTTTAAATGTTGATAAATATCGCACGTATAAAGAACTTTTGTTATGTCCAAAACCATGAAAGCAGGGACCCCCATCAGGGGGGAAGGTGGGGGCACGATGTGCCCTCTTAAAGCTTGGGGGAAAATTTTTACACTAAAGAAATCGAATAGTTTTGGGGGGAATTTAGAATTTGCCCAAGAGCTTTGGGGGGGGGCACTGCATGAAAGATCGTGAAAACTGAAATATGATTGCAAAGCAATAATATATACTTAAAGTAAGGTTCCCTTAATCTCAATGATTTCAATATCATCCACATATTAAAATAAGAAAAATGTCAGAAATTACATCTGTCAAGTGCAGCCCTAATGTCAAACTTTGTAACTGTAGGGTGAGTAGTTACAGTCCATGTCAACCTTCATCTATGAAAAGGTATCCAGACATAGAGTAGAGTTAACATGTCTTATATACTAGTGAATTGTAGTTGTAATTTTGTAGTGTTAGATACGCTACAGTACTCCCCCACTAGAATGATATCTGTGATAGAAATCGATGAACGAATACCACTAGTTGATTCATTGCTGTTTTTGTGAGAAGCCGGGAGAGCTGTATTAAGATCACCGTATTTTTTTAGTGCTGAATGTGAGAGGTGTTTAACTTCACGGTCGCAGTCGCTCCTGTGTTGCCGTTAGCAGTCGAGTGTATGCAAGCCGACGTTGTGAGTGATCGAAACGAGACTGAGTAGCAACGGCGTGAGGAGGTGGATAATGTCGCAGTCACAAGTAGCAAGTCAACTGTTCAATGTGGATCATCCTTCGAAGTAGGCGTTTCCAGATCGAAGTGGGCGTTACTGACAAGGTAGGCGTGTTCGCATCACTTCCGAAGGTCACCAATATGGGAGAGTAATTACAGTCCATGTCAACCTTCATCTATGAAAAGGTACCCCAACATAGAGTCGAGTTAACATGTCTTATATACTAGTGAATTGTAGTTGTAATTTTGTAGTGGTAGATACGCTACAGTAACTTTCAAGCTCTGTTGTTTAACCGCTAATACAGTAAAACCGCGCTACAACAATATTTTGTGGACCAAATATATTTTTGCAGAGGGATATATCGTTACATCGCGGACCTACATACTTTAGGGACGTTTTTTTTTTTAATTTTAATGTTATATATGTATTAACTATAACTATATTTATATATTGTGCAATAAATTAATTTGCAGAGAGTTATTTATGGTTAAATATTAAAAACAATTGAAATAAATTCAGAAAATAAGATCGTAAACATACCTAAAAACCGTTTTTATTGAAAATAATTTGATGTTTTTGTTTGTTTATTCATATTTTTTTTTACTGTCAAGTCCAACCAACAAAATATGCACTGAGTCCAAAACACGAAATTGATTTTCGTTTGTGAATAATGCTCCACCCACCCTCTNGTTAAATATTAAAAACAATTGAAATAAATTCAGAAAATAAGATCGTAAACATACCTAAAAACCGTTTTTATTGAAAATAATTTGATATTTTTGTTTGTTTATTCATATTTTTTTTTTACTGTCAAGTCCAACCAACAAAATATGCACCGAGTCCAAAACACGAAATTGATTTTCGTTTGTGAATGGTGCTCCACCCACCCTCTGCAGAAAAAAAAAAAAAAAAAAAACTCTTTCAGGGGTTGCTTGTGGTCATTTGTGACTCATGATCAGCTTTTAATTTAACATGAAGGAAATGAAATCAGATAGGAATTCTTTTCGGAAAAAGATGATAAAATAAAAGAGTTTTTTTACATTATTTGAAAACCAATAATAAATGGAGAAAATAAGGTTGAAATTTGGAGAAAAAAATATCGTAATATATTGAGAGGAGCGTGACATTAATTCATATGCAAGTTCATCGGGACCAAAAAAGAAATTAAAGGGAGTTATTGCTGTATCAGACATCGTAGTAACGAGAGTTCACTGTATTTGGTTGGTTGTCAACGGTGTGTGGAAAGTCCTGGGTGAGATGCATGCAGTATGCAGTGACCACTCAAGAGTTCCATCTAACCCCTGGTTGTAGCTCATCTATTCAGTATTATATGAACGCATCGCAATGCTCATCATTTCTGGGTTGTAAAAAATACATTTTAAAATTTTTAGACTACAGACACTATGATAAAGTTTAACCAAAAGTTTTTAATCGTCTGTCATTATGCTATCGAAACTAAAAATTTTGCATTATTTTTTAGTAAAAAGTATTTTTAATCATAAAATTCAGAACACCTTTCTGATTCTTATACCATATATTTGTAAGTAATTTAAAAATATGTGCAAATAAAAGAAGGAATTGAGCTTTAAGCTGCAGTGCTAAAAGTAAATTAACTATGATTGGATTAATAATTTAAAACATAAGTTCTCTCCTCCTCCCTTCATTTAAAAAAAAAATTGAGTTTGAGCTTTGTAATTTATATTTACGTAAAAAACTAATTAAGAAACTAATAAAACTCCGTAATTAAATTTATTTTATTGTAATATTTTAAGCACTTTCAAATTTATTCTGAATCTCCAACTTGATCTTGTCCCGCAGTGGACTGATCGTTAAGACACGGTTCCCAGCAGATCACCGAAGTCAAGCATCACTGGCTGCGGTCAGTGTGCGGATCAGTCTGCGTAGGGACCGAGGGTGTGCGGTATGGATCATCGTTCAACTGTTCTACCGTAAAGCGCTCGACTTCGCGTGCAGGTCGTCAGACTACCGAAGCGGGGGTGCCATCCCCTCTGCAGAGGATCAAAATTGTGATGGCATGTCTTTGGATCATCCTAGGGGATGCTTCCCAGACCGGCGCCAATAGCCCATTGTGCAGCTCTAGTGCGACGTAAATGAACTGCAACCACAACCAACCCTTCTTCTTCTTTTTTTTTTTTAATGAGTTTGAGCTTTGTAATTTATATTTACGTAAAAAACTAATTAACAAACTAATAAAACGCCGTAATTAAAATTATTTTATTGTTATATTTTAAGCACTTTCAAATTTATTATGAAACTCCAACTTGATTTTCTTACTTCTTACCCCACTTACCCAAAGACTGTTTTTATTTTATTTTATAATCGGCGTTTAAGAGCCGACACAATTCTTCTGCGGCAATTAATGCTCAACTCCATAGCCTTGTAATTTTGAACCCAAGCCAGAAGACAAGAGAACTTTTGGATTAAGCATAGAGACTAACTAGCCATCGTGGAAAACTCTTTGACGGAACTAACCCGTATTTGCGATGGGTTGGGCCGAGGACAAGGCCCCAGTATTTCAACTCTAGCCCGTGAACTACTGAAGATATTTTTCATCAGCACTGTGGTCGTTATAGAATTCGTATCACTTGACTATCGTTGGCATTCGAACTTGGGTCACCTCAATGGGAAGCGAAAGCTTATTCCCCTGACCTGACCCATAGCGGCTCCTTCTAAATAATGATTCAGGAAATTCAGATAATGATTTTTTGCCTCTTTTAACCCTTTAAAGTACAGATTTTTTGAAAAAAACCGAGCAAAAAAAATCTTTTTTTTTTATGTAAGAAAACACACTTTATATTAAAAAACACATTGTTATTTTTAATTCTCGATTATATTCGAGTGTGAAAAATTATAGCAGCATAAAATACAACGCAATTTGTAATTAGCCTATTGACAGAAATGCTAAATAACTCGCTTTTGTAAAGATAGAAGTCATAAATTTAGACCAAGTGTTTCTTACCGCATATAAAAGAAAATTTTCGTTTCGACATTTGCAAGAGCCTTAGTAATAAGCCTAATTGGCAGTAATGCTAAATAACACGCTTTTGTCAAATTTAGATCAAGTGTCTTTTATCAAATATAATATAAAAGTAAAAAACTTTCATCTCAACATTTGTAATAATCGGAGGTAATTAGCCTAATTACAGCAATGCTTATAGAAGTTTCAAATGCGGACCACGTGTTTGTTATTAGATATAAGAAAGTTCATTTTAATATTTTGCAGTTAACAAGATACTTCATAATTATCTGAGTATTTAGGAGTAACTAGCCTAATTAACAGTTCTGTTTATCTTTTTTGGAGGAGATCGGATATCCTTGTTTGCCTAATTTGAAAAATTATTGTTCGGAAGTGAGTCGTGTTTTATCTTTAGCGCAGAAAAAGACACCAGTGTTCCACGCATAAATTATTAAAATACTAAATAGTATAATATTTTTCACTTATTTTGTCTTAATTATTTTTTTTATTAATTTTAATAACATTGTTTTTCACTTATTTTGACTAAATTATTTTTTATTAATTTTAATAACATTGTTTTTTACTTATTTTGACTTATTATTTTTAACTTACTCTTATTTTCGCTAAATAATTCAAAATAATGAAAAATATGTTTAATAAAAAAATTATGTGTCGAGGAGTTAATAACACTTTCTTATCAAGATATAAGTTTTCAAATTTAGACAGTGTTTTTCTTATCAAATGCTTTTTTTAATTGTTTGTTTTTTCCTCTAAAAAAATTAATAAATAAAAATAAAAAAATTATAAATAAAATTAATAAATAAAAAGTGTCATATCAAAATTTTGTAGTTATATGGGTATAATTACCATAATTGACATTAATACAAAATAACACCTGCTGTGCTATCGAAATAGATATGTCTCTTCAATTCCGATCTGTGTGCTCCTTATCAGATTATAAGACAATGCTAAAACAGTTTCATTCTGTTATTTTAGAATTATTGGGGAATCACCCTCATAGAAACTAATGCGAAATAACACAATCCAACCATAATTTGATATTGAATTTAGATAAGATTATAAAGATAAACTAAAAAAAAAAAGGTTTTATTCAGATATTTGGTAATCAGTGTTTTAAATTTTCCTAATTGGCAAAAATATTCCCACCATTCACAAATTAGTTATAGAGGTAAGATAGAATTTGCGATGAAAGGCTTCTCCCGCTGTATGGCGTCTTCTTAAGTTTGTCTGACCGAACCAGCTACTCGCCGCTGGCGGCCAATGGGAAGACAATTTTGACTCTTTTAGTTTAAAGGAATTTTAACATCGAGCACTCAAAAAAAAATTTAAGTAGATTATTAAGCCACGTTTTCTTCCAAACAAAGGGGAAAATTTGAATTCGAGGCAATATCTGTAAAGTTTAATCAAACACAAAGATATTAAAATTTAATAACGCCTTAATCAAATTCAAAATTTATTTTAAAAAATTCAAAAAATTTTCTGTCTGTAGTCATAAAAGAACACAGCAGAAAAGTTATAATGTTACTGTGATTAGATTTTCCTTCAAATAAAAATCATATATAAATAAAAATCATCAATACAATCTGTAATATTTTTATACCACAGCCTTGAATTGAGTAAGGAATAAAATCGAATTTTAGAGATTCCCTGTACATCTGTCGAACACATTAGCATAGAATGGTTGATGTTTTGAATTCATTATTATTTCACACACTTTCTTTCCCGCCATTGAATGAGCAAGGCTAAGAAAAAGAGCCTTGGCAATAAATTAAACCAATCAATAGCCATTACATGGATTCCTTAACTTTCTTTGGCGAAAACTATGTTAACGCACATATGCCACTTACATTTTTGACTTCTTGGTAGACGGAGGTGTTTTCTGTGGTTTAGCCCTGCAGCCACACAGTCCGGGCCCTTTTTTAAACTTTTTTTTTATATTTAATAATTTATATAGACAAAAAAATGTCAGCAGTGCTGAGCCCCACAGGACAATTCCATCTACCGAAAAATCAAAATTGCAAGTGAAATGAGAGCGTTAACATAGTTTTCGCCAAGGAAAGATAAGGAATCCCCGTTTTGGCTATTAATTGGTTTAATCTATTGCCAAGGCTCTTTTTCTTAAGCTTACGCATTCAAATGTGTTGGCGGAAAAGAAAGTGCGAGAAATAATAATGAATTCAAAACATTAGCAACCGTAAAACGTTTTTCAAATTCTATGCTAATGTGTTAGGCTGGATGTAGAGGAAATATCTAAAAATAGATTTGATTCTGTATTCAATTCAAGGTAGTGGTGATAAAAGATTGCAGATTATATTAATGATTTTTATTTATTGAAAAAGGATTAAATTAGATAATAATTTAATTTTTTAAATCTTAGGAAATATGTGACACATATTTCAGCATGACACTTATATTCTTTTTTCATTAAGAAAAAAGGTAAAAAACTAATTAAAAATATTACGAAATATTAATTTCAAATAAATAAATAATGTTTTTGACTGTATTAAAGTTTTTAATGAGAAGGATGGTGCTGCCTTTCTTTTACAAGTGCTGTTCGTTATATCAGGTATATATTTCAAATCTGTACTCTCAATTCCGGTTCTATGCTTTCTAGACCGCTTTTGTACATACTTTGAAGATTAAAAACAGAAGCTGAAAATGCCTTTTTTTACAAAAATAAAAAAACTGGAAAGGGTATGGGGACGAAAGAGTTAACCTTCAATGCCAATGCTTTCTTCTATCAAGAGGTTCCCCAACAGAAAATTGACTTAGCTTGGTTTATAAGTATTATATACAAGAATCAAGGTAAAACATATTTTATTAGGGAGAAGGTGAGGTTTACATCTTGTTACGTTTAAAGCTGAACAACTGACTAGCGCGGGATAACAAAAGATGGAGTTGAGTTGAGTCGCTGCAAGGCGCATTTACACTGAAGATAAAATACATGACAATTCTCTGGCTCTTAAATAAAAGGTTAATTATGAATTATTAAAATTTAAGAGTCAATAACGAATAATTAGAGATTTAATCTGGTGACTGGTCTTTTTTCCCGAGTTGATCTCCTTAACTGCATTGGTTTTCTCTGGGTTACAGGACTAGAAACTGGAAGAGAGGAGGGTATGGTGGGTGTAGAGCTGGATACAGGAAGAGAGGAGGGAATGGTGGGTGTAGAGCTGGATACTGGACGAGAAAAGGGTATGGCGGATGTAGAGCTGGATACAGGAAGAGAAGAGGGTATGGTGGGTGTAGAGCTGGATACCGGACGAGAGGAGGGTATGGTGGATGTAGAACTGGATACTGGAAGAGAAAAGTGTACTGTCCTGGGCCTAGAAAATTTTAAAGAAGGAGTTATTGATTTTTCAACTTGACAAGCTCTTAATTGGTTAAAGTGACGCTTGATCACATAACCGTCGTCTAATTCAATGAGATAGTGAAGTCGTCCAAGTTTTTCAACAACAGTTCCATACTTCCATTTAGCAGATGATGTATAGTTGCGAGACTGTACTCTTTCTCCTAACTTGAAATTTTTGTTAAATTCTGGCTGCAAGGCATTATTTTTTTGTCCTTTAGTTGGTTTGATTAAGTCGAATTCACATCTTAAGTTTCTACCAAATAACATTTCTGACGGAGTTTTTCCATTGTTAAGTGGTGTTATTCTGTATCGGAAAAGTAGTTTGCATAATTTACTATGGAGGGAACCTGGATGATACTTCATGCATTTTAATTTCGTTTTTAATATCTGGACATAGCGCTCTGCTTGGCCATTTGTAGCTGGATAGCCTGGAGCAATAAGACGCTGTTTAATACCATTTGACTTACAAAAATGTTGGAATTCAGCTGACTTAAAAATTGCGGCATTATCAGAAACTAAAATTTCAGGCAATCCATGACGACTAAAAATTTCTTCTAAATAATAAATTGTGTTTGATGATGTAGGAGATGTCTTCATAGCAAAAATTTCAGGCCATTTTGAAAGTGAATCCACAACAATTAAAAATTGATGCTCCATGAAGGGTCCGGCATAGTCGATGTGCACGCGTTGCCAATTTTTCTCCGGTGTTTCCCATATGTGAAGAGGTGCTTTCGCTGGATTTTTTCTTACATCACAGCATTCACGGCAACTCTTAACCATGTTTTCAATATCGGTGTCAATGTTTTTCCAATAGCAGTAGTTTCGAGATAGAGCTTTCATTTTCACAATTCCTATGTGTGTAGAATGTAGTTGCTTGAGCATTTCAGGTTGAAGAGATTTAGGAATGATAACTCGATTTCCTCTAAATAGGATTCCATCTTGAATGGTTATACTGGGATCAAACTTGTTTCCAATAACAATATCGTATTTTATTTTTTTAAGATCAGGATCAAGCTCTGTTTCTGTTTGAATTTGTTTTGCTGTAATTGTTTCAGTTGAAATGTAATTTATGATAAATTGCTGGAGTGCTTGTGATTCATCAATACAGTTGACGTAATTAACTGGTAGTGGAAGAGGATTTCTTGAAAGGTAATCAGCATTTGTATGCTTTTCAGATTTTCTATGTATAATTGTGTAATCGAAACTCGAAAGAAATTGAGCATATCGAAGAATTCTTGAAGCAGTCATAACTGGGAGGCTTTTCTCTGGATGGAAGATAGCGCAAATGGCTCTGTTATCGAGAATCAAGGTAAATTTTCTGCCAAAAATATAATCGTAAAATTTTTTGCAAGCCCAAACCACAGCTGTAGCTTCACGATCCAATTGACTGTAATTTTTCTCGGCAACTGTGAGACTTCTGGAAGCAAAAGCGATAGGACGCTCTATACCGTTTGGCATAGTGTGTGAAAGAACTCCTGAAAGTCCAAAAGGGCTGGCATCAGTAGCTAATGTTACTGGAAGAGCTGGATTGAAAGGCACTAGAATCTGGTCACTGGTTATAATTGATTTTGCTTTTATGAACGCAGATTCACATTCTGCAGTCCATCGGAAACGTGCGTTTTTACATAAGAGTTTGTTTAGTGGATGAAGTAGGCTGGAAGCATCTGGAATGAACTTAGAATAATACATGACAAGTCCAATGAATTTACGAACATCATCAACGGAGTTTGGTCGAGGTGTTTCGGATATAGCTTGAATTTTATCAGGTGATTTGTGTAGTCCAGCAGAACTGATAACATGTCCCAAATACTGAACTTTTTCCTCGAAAAATCTACATTTGTTAAGATTAAGATGCTAATTATGTTCCCGTAACTTTTCTAATACTTTAATTAAACGTTGCTGGCAATCTTGTTTATCTTTTCCTTGGATGATAATATCATCAAAGTAGGCAATAGTTCCATCCAAATCTTGGACAAACTGATCAATAAATTTATGGAATTCATTTGGTGCAGTTTTTATTCCGAAAAATAATCTTTTTGCTAAGTATGTACCTCTATGAGTAGAAAGAGTCTGATATTTTGCACTTTCTTCATCGACTTTCAAATGTAAATATGCTTTGTGGATATCGAGCGTACAGAAATATTTCCCATCGCGTAATTTATTGAAAATGTCCTCAATTCTAGGAATTGGGTGTCTGGCATTTTGAAGCTGACTGTTGATTGTAACTTTAAAATCTGCGCAAATACGAATTGTGCCATCATGCTTTGGGACAACTACTAGGGGTGTACCCCATTCTGATACGTCTATTTTTTCTATTACACCTTCCGCTTCTAATTTATCTAATTCTTGTTCTACTTTTGATTTTAAAGCATACGGTACAGTACGTGGTTTAATAAAAATGGGTTTAGCATCTGGAATTAGCTTTAGTGTACAAGTATAATCAGGAATGCAACCAATTTTAGGTTCAAACACATCAGAAAAAGAATCAATAATTTTCTGTATAGAAAAATCAGTACAAGTAATGCTGGGTTTAATACTTGTATTTTGTGAAGAAATAATGTGAAGATCATTTAAATTAATATTCAAGTTTCTAATCCAATCACGCCCTAATATAGAATTTTTCTTTATCGAAACAACATACAAATCTTCAAAGCTAGATTTATTTTGATCTGATACTTTAATCTGGGCAACGCCAAGAGGCTTAAAAATTTGTCCCGTATAACTTCTAAAAGATACATTCGTTTTTTTTATCGGTACATTCAGACATAATTTTTTGAATTCGTCATTATTTATTATGCTAACCTTACTTCCGGAATCGCATTCGAAGCGATGCTCAATGCTATTCAATTTAACTGGAACATACATTTTGTCATCATGATTGAAATCGTTCAAAAATACATCATAAATTTGATTTATGTTAGTACTTAGTTCATTAGAATCATCCGTTATTTGATTTATATTTCGATTTCTAGATCTATTTCTGAACTGTTTTGATATACACACGTTAGCTAAATGATCTCGTTTCATGCAAGATTAACATCGTAATTTATTTTTAAGAAAACAATCTTGAGTTTTATGATTTGTTTTTCCACAATGTAAATATAATCCCTCTAATCCAAGTTCTTTTAAGTTAATACTGCTTTTATTTTTCATAGGCGATTTTGATCTACTTCTGTTTTGATGTTTACTTTCGTTTTCGGAATTTCGAAAATTACTGTTGAACTTTTTCTTTATATAGCCACTTGATATTTTATTAATGAAATTAGGATAATTACTCTTATAAACTTCTTTATTTTCGATTTTAGCAGCTTCAATTGCTAAGGTAATTTCAATAGTTTTATCAAATGTAGCATCACCTTGTTGCAATAATTTTTCACGAATATCGGCATCAGCTAAACCTCTGATAAATTGTGATCGTAATAATAAGTTTAACATAGATTTAGAACAGTTATTAGAATTACATTCAGATTTGAATTCAGCATTTTTTGTTAAATCTTTCAATGAAGAAACGAAAGTAGAAATCGACTCACCTTGATGTTGATGTCTAGAAAAAAAATTATGTTGTTCGGTAAGAACATTCGGTTTCGGTGATAGATGCTTCTTTAAAAGCAATAGCAGTTCTTGAAATGTTTTTGTCGACGGAATATCCGGTGCAGTAAGACTCGAAAGCAGCTGGTATTGTTGTGAGCCAAGACAGTTAATTAATACGAGTACCTTTAATTCTTCTGTTTCTGATCATCTGCTGACAGTCCTTTTAATTTGAAATAATTTTCAAGTCGTTGAGAATAACAATCAAAGGATTCGACTGCGGCATCAAAAGGATCGAATGATAAGTTGTGAGTAGCAATGACATCTTTTGGGTTTCGTTTCGATTCTGGTGTTGATTTTACTGATTGAACAAATTCTTGAAGAGTTGTAATTAATTGATTGAGTTCCGTCATTATTATTCTTTTATCCTCGTCGCCAAATTATTATATACAAGAATCAAGGTAAAACATATATTATTAGGGAGAAGGTGAGGTTTACATCTTGTTACGTTTAAAGCTGAACAACAACTGACTAGCGCGGGATAACAAAAGATGGAGTTGAGTTGAGTCGCTGCAAGGCGCATTTACACTGAAGATAAAATACATGACAAAAGTCCTAATCTCTATAAATGCATTACAATACGTCGGATGACAGTCAACCATTTCTGTACTTCAAAATTTATGCTCGGTCAAAAGCACAAAAAGCTTTGCAGAAAAATTTTAAATTAGACAGAAAAAGGCATTTATGAAAAAAAGGAACGAAAAAGGCATTTTCAGAAGAAAACGTTTAAAAAAGGCAGAAAAGGGCATTTATGGCATTTTGCCTGAACTTCCGGGCTCTAATGATTACAGTAAGTATGTAAATGTCTACAATGTCTACAATGACAGTAAGTATGTAAGTGTACCTTACTAATTTTTCAATATACATAAATTTTTAATAGTCTTCGATCATAAATACAATCTATTTTTCTTAAAACAAATTTCAATCCAAACATAAGAACTACAAAACCAAATATACCTGCCATCTTTCATTAGTGTATAGAATAATCTTAGAACTCTAATCAAAATATCTGTCAAACTTAAAATAAGTTTAAAGGGGATACCTAAGGACTTAAATGATTTCAAATTAATGGTATTTAATCTCTCTTATTCTAATAATGTGTTGGTAAAATTTTATCATGAAAGTGATTTCTTTCTTTTATTTCAGATATTTCGTATAATCCTGTAAGGTTTGTCTGGTGAAGAAGGAAAGAGATGCAATACTGTTTTTATGAAAGAAATTNATGCTATTTAGGCAAAGTATGAAATAAACGTCCTGATGAGGTTATTATGTAAATGATGCGCATGTTACTGTGAATGACCGAAACCGGTGGTTGTTGACTTTCACCGGTAAATGTTTGACAATCACACAGTCGCTTTGGTGAATGTCCGAAATATTTATTACATCCGATTTGATATTAATTTATTCGTGGATATGATTACATTTATTCGATATTTTAATCCTTACTGACAATAGATTAGAAGAAACATCAGTGTTTGGAGTATCGGGCAAATATATACCAGGCAGTGGCCCTTGATCTTAATAAAACATCAGTGTAGGGTATACCGGGCAATGGTTTTGTAAGGTCAAGTGCCATTGCCCGGTATACCCTTCACTGATGTTTTTTTAAGGTCAAGGGTCCCTGCCCGGTATACCCTACACTGATGTTTTTAAGGTCAAGGGCCACTGCCCGGTATATCCTACACTAAATTTTTTTCAAGTCAAATATCATTGCCCGGGGCATATTTGTCCGCATACTCCAAACAGTGATGTTTCCTCTAATCTATCGTCAGTAAGTATTAAAATATCGAATAAATGTAATTATATCCACGAATAAATTAATATCAAATCCAGGGGCCCCCACCAGGGGGGAAGGTGGGCGCACGATGCGCCCACTTAAAGCTTGGGGGGGGGGGATTTTTACACTAAATAAAACGAATAGTTTAGAGGGGAATTTAGAATTTGTCCAAGAGCTTGGGGGGATGGGGGCCACTGATCAAATCGAATGTAATAAATATTTCGGACATTCACCAAAGCCACTATGTGATTGTCACCATTCACCGTAGAAAGTCAACAACCACCGATTTCGGTCATTCGCAGTAACATGCGCATCATTTACACAATAACCTCATCAGGACGTTTATTTCATACTTTGCCGAAATAACATCCGGCATTATACATAATGCCTAGGCAATGTGTGAAACATACATCATTTCATACTTTTCCGGCTAGTTTTAGGCAAAGGCATTAGATATAATGCTGGATTTCATACTTTGCCGGTAAAATATATACTAATGAATTAATTTTTAATAATTGTAGTGGTACTTAATATCACAAGGCATCAGAAATTTCAGTGCATTCGAGGTCCGCTTGGAAAAAAAATTTCTGTAAGTGAATCCAGAAGTTTGGGAAAGTTCTGTTTACAAGGACTTATTCTTGTATGCCAATTTCAAAGCTCCACCTGTAGAGATTTCCAAAGGTGTCGCAAAGGCGCAATTCGATTAGGAAATCGAGATAGATAAAATCGTTATCGTATTGACACGCTACGAATTCAGCTCTTAATCTTTGCATAAGTGCTTCTGCTATCTTTTGAAAATATTACGTTGTAGTAATGGCTACGTAGTTGCAAACAATAAAAAAAAAATCGGATAATATTCTAGATGAAAATACACGTTCCAATAGAGTTTTTTCATTGGGGCAATTAAGTAATCTATAATCTAGGATTACTCATCTTTCAATTTTTCCACGAGGCCTTTCAGAGTCTGAAGAAGAAGAAAATCTTAACAATTTATGACAGACCTTCACGGACAGCCTAGAAACGTGATGAGGACCTCCGGTGGTCACTGGTCAGCAGACCACTATAAGAGCAGCTGTTTTAAACTATTCGCCATTTCACGTTAAGTCCTATTCGATTCAACATAAAAATACAGTGTCCCAAAACTCATGGTACATACGTTAGAGGGTGATAGAAAACTATTAAACAAGCACAAATTCATACTCCGGAATGAAAGTCGTAAAGCGTTCGAGCGCGAAACATGCTGTGTCACGAAATGATAGGAAACATTCGGAGATAGAATAAAATGAAGGAGAATTTTTTATTCAACAAAAGAAAGTTAACACTGAGTCCCCCATCACAGGAACCTGCTCGAAATTGTGTCCGCAAAACATCAACGCAGGCATCACACCCTCGAAAGAGTGACTGCCACACATTGGCCGAAAATACCTCACCCCTCTTACGATATCAGCAGCTACGGGTATCCGGACAATAAGGTCTTCCGTAGAATCTATAGGAATATCGTCGTAGATGAGGCTCTTCATTTGATCCTAGAAGAAAAACCCAGACTTGACAAATCGGATGATTGGGCCGGCCAATTGAGTCACTGGGCTGGAGCTCCATCATGTTGGAACCACATGCGCTGTGTGCTGTAACAAGGTTTAATATTTCTGACAACATATCTTACAAAAACACAAGGTATGAATCTCTTTCCAGGCGTGTTGACAGTAGGTATGAACCAATCAAATGATCATGTACGATTCTGGCCCAAACATTTAGCGCTAAACGTCGCTGGAACATACGTAAACGCACAGCGTACGAGTTTTCAGTTGCCCACACTCGATAGAAGTGGTTTTTTCGAAATGGATGGTGTTTTCAATAGAAATGTAAACAATAACAATCTCGAGCTCGGGACCTACTCTAGTTCCGGTTAAAAAGTTTGCTGCTGCTTACTACATGTTATTCTGATAGGCGATGTTTTCAAACGGATAATTTTGTTTTCAATAAAAGAAATAAACTAGACAATTTCCGAGCTAAAATCTGCCGTATTTCGTAAGATATTAATGTTATTATGTAATTCTGGGGAGTTTGGAGTGAAAATTTGTTTTAGTTATTTTGTTATTTATTATTAAAAAAGGTGACATGGTTGCTAGATTTTGAATAACTCGCTTTTTTGGCAGTCTTGATTTGGCCTCTTTCCATTTGTTTATTACTGTTTGTTCGTGTTGCAAGCTGTGCACCATCTTACGTTAGTGTTAACACTTTTAGTATTGTAAACAGTATTGTTAGCATTGTAGACATAAGTAATAAGTAATCAAATGCATTGTTTGCAAGAATCTCAAAACACAATGATGCCAAATGGCTTTAAAATACAACTGAAACAGTAACCCGGAAATTTAGGCAGTCCCAAGCTTGCAGCGCTCCCTAGTGTAGAAAACACCATCCATACCTTCGCTGGTGATAGTGCATTCGTCAGTGAACAACGCATGTGCAATGTGTACAAAATTCCGGGAGCACTGCCGTCTGTTAGAGAAACGTGTTGAAGTTGACACGTGCCTGATAATCTGATGGTTCTAGGCCCTGTACTCTCTGCGCCATGGGCATCGCAACCAGGGAGTCTGAGGGGCCCAGACCCCCCAATATTTGGGGAGTCAGAACCCAACATTAAAAAAAATTGTTTCTGTTTTATTTTCCATAAAAAAAAAATAAGCTATGTTTTTAACATTAAAAATTATTATAAAAATATTTGTCCCGCAGTGGACCGATCTTTAAGACACGGTTCCCAGTAGATCACTTAGTCAAGCATCACTGGCTGCTGTCAGTGTGCGGGTGGGTGACCACTTGGATCAGTCTGCATAGGGACCAAGGGTGTGCGGTGTTGGTCCTCGTTAAACTGTTTTACCGCAAAGTGCTCGACTTCGCTTGCAGGTGGTCGGGCTACCGAAGCAGGGGTGTCATCCCCTCTGCAGAGGATCAAAAAATTGTGATGGCATGTCTTCGGATCATCCTCAGAGATGCTTCCCAGATCGTCGCATTGTGCATCTCTAGTGCGACGTAAATGAACTAGAACAACAACTACAATAAAAATATTTACTGTGCAAAAGAAAATATTTATAAATAGAAAATACGCGTCCAAAAAAATAGGCTGCATCAAAAATTAACAAAATAAACGTTAATAAAAATAATATAATTGTTAATGCCAATCTAACCTTTCTCTCAAAGGAGCAATAAACGGAATAAAATTCATCAAAATAGGAGGGGTGACCACAAAATACAAAAAAATAGTTTAGTCAGCTGATCGGACGAATGTTTGGGCCTCTTATTATTAATTTTATTTTTTGCGTATCCTTCAATATCTTGCAGAGAATCGAAAATTTGTTGTATACAATCATTTTATTCTTTTATCTAAAAGCTATAAAATACAAAATCTTAATGGAATTGGTCAAACACTTCACAAGAATTGAAATTTTAAATATAAGACTTTTTTTAAAAAAAAATTACAACTCAATGGTCTACGACTTCGACGGTTTTTCTTTTTGAGTATACACAAGGCGGACGATTAAGAGATTGCCCAATTATAATTTCTTTTCTTCCTCGTGCGTCAGACATAGTTTGTATTACCTTTCCTTTGGTAGTCGCAGGGTCCGTCTCAGCTTAATTGGTGCCCTGGGCAACAACTTTTTTGGGGGTCCCCCCTGCTTCACTACTTCAGTAATGAAGAACAGAATTTTATTGAGGTTTTTCAAGTTTTCACCTCATTATATATAACAAGAAAATTGACTGGAACCTAAAATAGCTTTGAAGTCTTCTATGGTGAGACGAAATATCGTTCTGTCCATTTTATTGATTTTCTGACAATGTCCATCATGCTGAATGCAATTTTCTGATTGTTAACTTTGTCATCTAGCTACGAAGAATTCATATTCTTGCTGACATAATTCAGCTAAATTTTCGCCATTACGATGGTTCAAATAAGCCAATCAGAAGCCTGTATTTTTTAAAGCATATCGCATTTTGCAAGATGTAAAAATACAGGATTTTGATAAGCCAATTTTATCCATCTCAGTTGCGAAAATTTAGTGGAATTCCGCCCCCTAGAAAGTCATGGATTTACGAAATATAGATTGTGTTCCTACGATAGATTAATGAAGCAGTAAACATATGTTGTTGCTGTTGGCGTATGCCTGTGTTAGGCAGAGGGGTTTCGATTGTTCTTATTTCTCAGTGGCGCCATCTATGGCCAAGAATTCTACTTCTGCCGCACCATACGTCACACCCGTTTATAGGACGGGCCCATTCATACATCCACAGATTGTAATTTTGACCTGAATCAGAGAACGATCGATCTCCAATCCAGTATTCCCAGACAGGGGCCCCCATCAGGGGGGAAGGTGGGGGCACAATGCGCCCACTTAAAGCTTGGGGGGGAATTTTTACACTAAATAAAACGAATAGTTTGGGGGGGAATTTAGACGAGAGAATTTTTTTAAGTACATAAATAAAAGAAGCATTGTCATATTATGAGCAGAATGCAAGCAAATTAGCACTATCTCGAACAAGCTAACATGGAAGGGAAATGGAGAGGGAGGGGGGAGGGGGGATGAATGCGCCCAAGAGCTGGGGGGGATGGGGGCCACTGCTCCCAGAGGTATTGATTTGTTATGGAAGCATGGAGGACTTTTGCGACTCGACAGATTACATCAGTCACTTTACTACACGGGGAGTCTTCGGCCGGCGCGGTTCGAACCCACGAACTCTCGGACATGAGTCCAGTGCCCTACCGACCAGGCTATCCCGGTAAACATATAACTGACGGATTTTACACTGTACTGATATTTAGGTTAAAAAAAAGTTCATTAAAGAAGGAAACATAAAATAAACTTTCTATTCAATTTGGGGGGCCCCTCTGATGTGGGGGCACGGGGCAACTGCCCCTTATGATCGTGCCTTAGTCAGGCTCTGGGTAGTCGCTGAGACGCACCGTCGAGCACGTTACGATTTGCTTTCGGACCATGGACAGTACTCTTTGTGTAGTAAATGGTGACTGATTCTGTCGAGTCTCGAAGTCCTCCATGTTCCTATAACAAATCAATACCTCTGGGGGGTACTGAATTGGAGATTGATCGTTCTCTGATTCAGGTCAGAGTTACGATCCGTCGATGAATGAAAGGGTCCGCCCTATAAACGGGTGTGTCGAAGAAGTCGAATTCTTGGCCATAGATGGCGCCGCTGGAAAACAAGAACAATCGCACCCCTCTGCCTAAACAGCCATACGTCAACAACAACAACAGCCGATTCAATTATAAGTTTAGGATGGTCTATGTTCAACTCCGTAGCCATGTCATTTTGAACCCAACCCAGAAGTCAAAGGAAATCCTGTATCGAGAATTGGAAAAAAACTAGCTTTCGTGAAAGACTTCTTGATGGAACTAACCAGCATTTGCGCTACATGTAGGGGAAAAACGCGAATATTTCACATGGTTAGCCAGATGGCAAAGGGATTCTAACCTATAATCCATCTACCAATAAGAATATTTTACGTCAGCACTGTGGTTGCACACAAAAACGGGAGCAGAATTCGTATAAAGAAGGCGCTGCTGGAATTCGAACCTGGATAGCCTCGTTGGGAAGCGAACGAATCCTCTGAACCACCGCGGCTCAATGCTTAATATATACTTNAGTACATAAATAAAAGAAGCATTGTCATATTATGAGTAGAATGCAAGCAAAGTAGCACTATCTCGAACAAGCTAACATGGAAGGGGGAAGTTAGCAAATTTTTTTTGGGAGGGGGGATGAATGCGCCCAAGAACTGGGGGGGATGGGGGCCACTGCTCCCAGAGGTATTGATTTGTTATGGAAACATGGAGGACTTTTGCGACTCGATAGATTACATCAGTCACTTTACTACACGGGGAGTCTTCGGCCGGCGCGGTTCGAACCCACGAACTTTCGGACATGGGTCCAGTGCCCTACCGACCAGGCTATCCCGGTAAACATATAACTAACGGATTTTAAACTGTACTGATATTTTGGTTAAAAAAAATTCATTAAAGAAGGAAACGTAAAATAAACTTTCTATTCAATTTGGGGGGCCCCTCCGATGTGGGGCCTTAGTCAGGCTCTGGATAGTCGCTGAGACGCACCGTCGAGCACGTTACGATTTGCTTTCGGACCATGGACAGTACTCTTTGTGTAGTAAATGGTGACTGATTCTGTCGAGTCTCAAAGTCCTCCATGTTCCTATAACAAATCAATACCTCTGGGGGGTACTGAATTGGAGATTGATCGTTCTCTGATTCAGGTCAGAGTTACGATCCGTCGATGAATGAAAGGGTCCGCCCTATAAACGGGTGTGTCGAAGAAGTCGAATTCTTGGCCATAGATGGCGCCGCTGGAAAACAAGAACAATCGCACCCCTCTGCCTAAACAGCCATACGTCAACAACAACAACAGCCGATTCAATTATAAGTTTAGGATGGTCTATGTTCAACTCCGTAGCCATGTCATTTTGAACCCAACCCAGAAGTCAAAGGAAATCCTGTATCGAGAATTGGAAAAAAAAACTAGCTTTCGTGAAAGACTTCTTGATGGAACTAACCAGCATTTGCGCTACATGTAGGGGA